ACTAATTTCTTTTCATCGAGAGTTTCTCCAAGCGAGGTCGACTTCGATGCGATCCCCGACAACTGGCTCGCATATTCATCAATAGTGCTTGATTCCTTCATCTTCAAGTTATCAAATTCTGTGATGAGGGTCTGTAGACGGGCCTCCCTCACCCTGTCTGCTCCTAGATTCCGAGTTTTAATTGCATCCCAGATTACTTTTGATGTGCTCATCTTGCCGACTTGCAAGATGAGATCTTCCGGAATCGCTTGGAACAAGACGGCTATTGCTACATTGTTTTTCTTTTGGTCGTTTGAGCCTGGATCAATGGTGTCCCATACCTGATGTACGTTGAGAATTACTTTCATACGAATTGCCCACACCGTGTAGTTTGTCGTATTTAGCATTGGAACATGGAACGAAAACGATGATCCTTCCTTCATACTTCCAGTCGATGATGAAGCAGTTTCTGCCATGACTCGAGGCCCTCAATATTCGCTCTGATACCAATTATTATGATGAACACAAAGAATTGTAGGAATATCTCTTATTATAACAAAGAAAATAACTCAAAACTTTGTTACAATCTCTCCCTCTCGTGATACACTAAACTCGATATCAACCTAGCTATATATACTGAATGTATGAATGTGGATAACCACAAAATCAGGACTTTTAAACCTATCCAAATACCAACTCGTATTAACATATTTTATCCCTTTATAATAGGATTTATAATAGGAAATTACCAACAAAATTCATGTTCAATAGGTGTCATGTCAAATTGTTTCATCCGTAATTCGTGGGATTGTAGTGTTCCCAACAGGCTTTCTAATGACAAAGTTGCAAGATCCTTTGATTCTTCGATGGCAACTACAATGTATTCAAACTTTCGAGTTAAACTTCTCAAGATTTTCTCTACAATTCTCATCTTCAACGTCTTCTCCGTTTAATCTTATTTTGTTCATCAAGGCAATTACTCTATTATAGAAGCCCTCTATGGATTCTGATTCTTTCATCTTTAGATTATCGAATTCGGACCGCAAAGTCTGCAATCGTCTAACCTTGACTCTGCCCTCACCCTGATAGGTTTTGTGAAGCATATCCCACACTTCTTTTTGATGTATTTGATGCAGAAATTCGTTCGAATATAGTTTCATCTACTGCCTGATATATGAAGGAGAGAGCCTTCTTATCTTTCTTTCCGTTATGCTTTAATTCGATCGTTTGTTGAGGAGTCAATTCGCTTACATTTGCAGGTTCTCGTATCCCATCTTCTACAATGCTCCACAAATCTTGCGATTCATATAAAACTCTCATCTGAACACTCCAATGGTGGTAATTCTTTCCATTTAATTTTGGAAGTTGTGGTTGTATTATGTTACTGTTATGCGAGGCCATGAAGAAATATCCTTATCGTCGTTTTCTTTATTCGAATAGTCTTTCTGGAAACCTGTCTCTGACACTACTTTGTTGAACAAGATCACAACCCAGATATGGAACATGAACAAACAATAAACTAATATCAGATTTCTTACTACATAAAATCTGTTCCCACCTAACATACATAGACGACACATACTTCTATATATAGTACTTAGATTGACAGTTACATAGCAGTTATCAACCGCTATGGTAGTTAAATAACTGTCTTAACCCACCAAGTCTCGTTACACGGTTTAATACTTTGTCTTATTTAGTTTAGTGGTATTGTACACTCTCACATGCCTTTATTGTCCATACATATTCTTTTTTCTTACTTCTCCGTCGACTTTCCTAACCTGCTTGCATAACATTTATCTATTTTTTCTCTCTCTTTCCTCTCTTTCAAACTTTTGTCTAACTTTTACAACCAAATTTTTCTTGCAAAAACCTGTTCGTTAAATCTTTTTACAAGATGGGGGTCTTCAGGGAAACCATCTCTTTACTCCTCGCAATAGAGGTAAGGGTTTCGTACATCCTACCCTCCCCAGACCCTACTCCCTATGGGATTCATTCGGTTCATTTGGTATGGTCTTTGCTGCAGATCAACGTTATGCACCTGTCTGTTCTTTCTTGTTGTCCACTATAAACCTTATATGATCCGAGTGAATAATAAAAAAGCATGGTATCATTTAGCTCCCTTAAAATCCTAGGAAGGCCACACATACACTAACCAAAGAACACAATTTGGTATTTGCTTCATGGGATATTGCTGAAAAATATCATCACAGTTTAAGTAGAAGCATAAACACACTTATGACTGATAAAAGCTTTTCTGCAGTGGATGACATTGGAGGAATATGCAGCTCAACCTTGTCCTGAAGAAAAAAGTTTAAGGAAATACATTACTATGTTGGCAAAGGTAGGGAGAGACTACTCTGGATTAACTCCACTCCCGTTAACATTGGATCCCGAGGATACTCCAAGAATTTATTTGAACAAGCGAGATCTAAACAAAGAAATACAATAAGAAATCCTAAATATCAAGTGTGGACCATTTGCTGTTTATTGTAAACTTACTTTATTTTGTGTCATTCATCACATTTGCTTGTTGTATAATAAATATTTGGAATTTCATGTATTTATTACTTTTAATGTGATTTGAACGCAATCCTCTCTGCAGTATGCATGATGGAAAGTTGATAGTCTTCGGTTAATTTTCCTGTTAGAATAAGATCTGGGTTTTGATGATCATTTGGTTTGAACTCATGAAGGGATTAGAACCTTGTCAGAATTGCGCTCTTTTCAGTTGATTGCTTCCTCAAGATTGTGTAAATAAGTATTTTTAGGGGCAGCATCCTATATAAATGCCTTCATTATTGAAGATATAGGGTTGGGTTCCTTAAGAGTCCACCCTTGGATGCACATTAGGATGAGATGCACCGGATCAATCCCCGTGTCAAGCAAGATTCATGGGTGGGTTTGAGATTAAAGATGATCAAGGGTCCAGATCTTTTCTTCCGCTTCTCACCTTAACTCTCCTTCTCACATGATCCTTTGCCTATATATATATATATATATATATATATATATATGTGTGTGTGTCTGTGAGAGAAAGAAATGAGACTCAAATATGTGATTCAAATCTTGATCCAATGACTCTGAATTATGATTTTTCACTGACATTTGAATCTCAGTAAAATGCTTCATTCTTCTTCATTCTAGGATGTCTACTGCAGGGGCTTTTTATCATGGAAAACTCCATAACCTTCACGTGCCTCTCGGGATAGAGGGAAATGTCTTACATCCAACCCATGATCCCCACCTCCAGGTCAGATATACTGGTTTGTTTGATTTATCTCAACTTTAGTTTGTAGGGTAAGGCCTATTTTAAAAGTCGTTTGAAGTATATAACTATATAAGTAGTAGGGTTAGGTTTAGGGGAAAACCACAAAAAAATAAAAACCGAGGAACACGCTGGTAACTATTCAACTACTCATCTGGACGGTATGTACATGTGCATACAAGTAACTTGTAAGGAATTTGTCTGGTATGTACATGTGCATAACATGGACTCGTGCGTAGACACCAATAAACAACTTCAGTTACTTGTATGCACATGTGCATATCGTACAAATGAATGGTTAAGGTGTTCTTTAGTTTTTCATTTTGGGGTTCTCCTTGAACCTCCCTCATAAGTAATATATAATATTTATATGCGGCAAATATTCACACACACACTCCTCACTTGTAGTGAGGCTTGAACCCTTGACTCTACTGGTAATCCAATTACCGTTGAGCCAATGACCCTTTGGTATCTTTTAGGTGTCGTGCGTCCCTATTAGGTTCAGAAATTGATAGCATCCGATTAAAATTTCAGGTTTTTGGCCTAGTCCAAGATCAGTTTCTACCACTTAAAATGTGTTCAAATTGTCTATTACTACTTAACTGAGTCTGAGGTCAACTTTGACACCGCCATGTAAGCAAAATGATGAAAGGTTCGCTACGTGGCGGCAAACGACCCTTTCCAAGTGTCATGTCAATGCCATATATGTCCGTGCCGAAGGTCATAATCGGTGCATATCTTAAAACTTACATATGTGACCAAAAAACTATAGTCTGCTTACTTTTCTCCAAGAATTTGATCATCAGGAGCAATGTTGTGGTCATATTTCTCTTTCTTTACTTTACTTTTCTTCCTTCTTTTCAACTCAATTTTCATCGGATCTCCGGTGGTTTCTGGCGGTGATGCTTTGCCGATCCGCTGCGAGTATCCCTGCCAACCAGCTCCTCCTGGTCGTGTTCCATTATATGGAACACCACCACCACCACCATCACCACCAAGTGAACCTGTGTATAAATCCCCACCACCACCACCACCACCACCTGTTCTCCCTTCATGTCCACCACCACCAATGCCTACCAGTCCTGTGTATGGAGTACCACCACCACCACCACCAATGCCTACCAGTCCTGTATATGGAGTGCCACCAGGACCACCCTCAATTCAGGGGACATGTCCACCTATGCAGAACTGTGTCTACCCTTCTCCAAATGCAGACATATATCAACCTTTAAGTTCTGCATCTCATTTTCCCATACATTTCTTATACAATTTAGTGTTGATGTTTCTTCTCTTGCTTCCCTTTTAGAGTCAAGTTGATGATACTTGGCTAATTGTCATCATAGCATTTCAGTTGTTCAACCTTTATGTTTGTATTCACATGTGAATCATAAAAACCATGTATGCATATTGTGTTGGTATAAATTTTTTTTGAAGTATATAATATTGGCAAATACTCACGCGTACTCTTTGTTTTCGATGATGTTTGAAACCTTATCTTCTAGGAGGCTAGACTCTACCGGTAACCTTTTGATGAATTGGTATTAACTTCTTTTAAAAGTGTATAACATCGATCAATACTCATGCATACCACTTACTTTTTGTGACGTTTGAATCCTTGACCTTCTGGAAGCCTAGATAGACTCTATCTGTAACCCAAATATTGCTAAGATACCCTTTTGGTGAATTAGTGTTAACGTTTTTAAAGCTCATACACTTTTTATTTTTGGTGAAGTTTGAACCCTTGACCTTTTGGAAAGTTAGACTCTACCAGCAACTGAGATACTGTTAGACACTCTTTCGGTGAAGTTTGAACCATTGACCTTCTAGGAGGCTGGTCTTTCGGAACCCTAGTAAATTGGTTTTAACATCTTTTAACAGTATATATTATCAGTAAATACGTAAGCACACTTCTTACTTTTTCGTTATTTTTCGTGAGGCTTGAACCCTTTATTTTATTTTGGTAAATTGGTATTAATTGGTTGTACGATACAAGCGATTGATGCATGAAAGGAGTTTGGTATATTTATGTTGACGGTGGGATGATGATACAAGGATGACACCTAACACGTGAGACTCAATACTCATGCCATTTGTGAATAAAGGCGAGATGGTACCCCTCTTACTCTTTTTGCATAACGTGTTTCGCTTTTTTTGTTTCTATTTTTGGAAATAGTACCCACCCCATCCCCACATTTATATATATATATATATATATATATAGAGAGAGAGAGAGAGAGGAGTTGGTTTAAATGAAAACCACTCAATTTGTAAAAACCGTAAAAACCTTATTCAATCAATCATAATTTTTCATTTTGTTCATTTTTTTTGTAATTATGAGAGGTTGATTAACCATTTTTATTGTGGAGGGTGTTAATCATGGATATTATCATCTTCATTATTTTAATTTTAGAAAAATACATGAAACAGTATTATTAAAATTTCATTAAGTAGTATATGAAACAATTTCATAACCACATATGAAACAACTTCATCAAAAAAAAGTATTATATGAAACAATTTCACAAGATTAAAAATTTTATGAAAAAATTTCATAAGATTAACGACGGATGAGAGTAGTTTTTACGGTTTTTACAAATTGTAGTAGTTTTCATTTGATTGCTCCTCTCTCTCTCTCTCTCTCTCTCTCTCTATCTCTCTCTCTCTCTATATATATAGAGGAGTGATCAAATGAAAACCACTCCAATTTGTAAAAACCGTAAAAACTACTCTCATCCATCGTTAATCTTATGAAATTTTTTCATGAAATTGTTTCATATAATACTTTTTTTGATGAAGTTGTTTCATATGTGGTTATGAAATTGTTTCATATACTACTTAATGAAATTTTAATGAAACTGTTTCATATATTTCTCTAAAATTAAAATA